ATAGATACATTTTCACGCAAATACGTTATATATACTAGTAATAGCCTATAATTCAATAATTTTGCCACTTGTATTATAAATTTACGTTGTGGCTAATTTGTTATTAGAAATAAGTGTAATAATTTTTATAGTTTTGCAAATTATAGGTACATTTAATCATTAGTATGATATTGTTCAAGTAATAACCAATGAATTAATTCTTTTCCTGTATTATAAATTTACGCTATAAACAATTTATTATTAATAAGAAATTGGATTATTTATACACTTTTATGAACTATAACTGTATTTGAATGACGTCATTGCCAAGAATTCCGTCCACTTCTCGCAGCTTTAAAAATCATCAAATGTTTAACTGAAACATCGTAAATTTACAAAAGATGGGAAATATCTTAAACTTTGTGCGTAGCTCTTAGCTTGGTATCGTTTCCCAAAAATTGTCCTTTGGGAAACGATATCAATTACCAGGTCTCACCACGTGGAGGTTGACTACGCAACGAGACTCGACATGCGCCCTAATGGCGCATCCTACTGGTGCTATTCGTATAAAAAGTAGCCTAATCTAACTAGGAGCGAATTAAGTTTAACTCTACTGACTCTACTGACACTTTACAAAATATTATGTGTTACAAAAGGGGTTTCGGTTCAGTATACTACAACTCTACTTTCGCAACACTAAAATATTTAAACAGAGATATAACTAGGGAATGAAATATAAAAGACGCGAGATCGAAGATAACACAGTAATTTTGATTACGGTCCCGTGTTTAGGAATGTAAACTCTACGAGAATTCCCCGATAGATTAGAGAAGAAATTAGATTAGAGAAAAAATTAAAATTTGTCGAACTGTATTATCGACGGAGCACGAACGGGAAATGCGAGATCAACGCAGCGTGAAGCACGCGAATGTAAGGAGGGAAGCTCTCGCAAAGAACCGTACGCTTGTTTGAACAGATAAAAGATAAATGATCTCTCTGGGGAGAACCGTTCCTCCCACTAGCTATAACCGCTTCAGAAGGGTTCGTATGGTTGCTGTAGGTCACGCACGTACAGTTTCAAGCAGCGCGAATCGAGGACGCGTTCTATTCCCTCCTATAGTTAACCTTTGCTTGGAACCTTTCCTTCGATTCAAACAGAAACATGATAGAATGCCAAAAAATTAAAAAAAATAACGCGTTTCATAATCGGGAATAAAAATCATAACGAATTAATAAAATATATTAATAATCCAATTATTATCGCGTACTGCTATTTTTCATATCAAGTTAAATCTAATTATTAAATTAAATTATTTAAACCTCATATAACCTTAAATTGACCAATCCGGTTGAAAATAAAAATAATTTATATATTGCAACATTAATTAATAACTAATTTGACCTCACATTTATCACAATAATAATTACCCTCCTCGTTTTCCAAATCGATTAAGCCCCTCTCATTCACGTTAAATATAATTATTAAATTAAATCATTTAAACGTCATATAACCTTAAATTGACCAATCCGATTGAAAATAAAAACAATTTATATATTGCAACATTAATTAATAATTAATTTGACATTACATTTACCATAAATTTATAATAATATTTATAATAATTACCCTGCTCATTTTCAAAATCGATTAACCCCCTCTATTTTGCCCCGTTGAAAAAAGCTATAAATTTATTTTAGATACAAAAAGTTAACCTCCATTCACATAATTCGTCTCCAAAATTAAGAAATATTCAAGAACCCACAAGAAGGCTCAATTTTCTTCGTACGATAATTAATGTCGTCCAATAATTGCGAAGCATTTACGAATTAATCGTGAAGTTTCGTTTCTCGTTTGTCATCGAGTGTCCATTCCTGTCAACTGTTATCCAGAAGTCTCAAGCTCGGCACGGAAACGAAAAATTAACGTGACGGTGAACGAACCCCCTGAAATTTCCCGGGTGATCCACAGACCATAAGTTCCGGTGATCCAGAGCTCTTCAATCGGCGGACAGAGTCGACGATGATCGGCTTTCGTGCAATTGACGACTCGCTGGTCCTCCGGCTCCTTCCACAGTCTCGCGTTCCTGATGCCTAGTTTCCTTGGACGTTACATTGGCCTCTCTTTTCGAACCGAACGACTCATCATGAACCTTTTCGGCTTGGTAAGGACCACCTTGTCACTATCTCTGTCCCCTTTACTCCTTCAAATCCTCAAGTCCTATCCTTTCTAACCTCTATAACCTTGAATCCTGTTTACCGAGAAATCAACGAAAGCTCAGGTTCGTTGATACGACGAGTAATTTCTTCGATGAAACAATTGAAACGATGCAAATGTGTGTTGATCAGAGCGTGTCTTTCGAAGGTTAATAGCATACTAGATTGGAGTCCCATTAAATGGAGGAACAAGCTCGAACAAATTTGGAACTTGTCCTTATCACAGGGAACGCTTATTTTCGATACGATTGGCGAGGATACGATTAAAACTGGTTAGAGCATTGACAAATGGCGTGGACGCAACCGATATTATTAATTCCCGTACGTTTATCTGTCTGCAGTGCTATCCTGGATCGTGATCACGCGGATCGTTATCGCTCATCTGTACACGTTTTCTTACGTAACGAATATTTATCCGATATTAACCTCCAGCCGACCAAACTTGCTGCTACCCTGGTTGATCCTCAGCTTCTTCAAGAATGTCGTCCTGGAAGTAATCGTGATCGCCATTGGTCTCTTGCTTTGGTATGACAAGAGATTCTCGTTGACCATTTTCCTCGAGTTCGTGTCTGTAAAAATTGTCCCACTGAGTAAGTATGAATTTGATTTATTATCAAGAATATTATCCTATTCGAAATAAATAGTGCTCATAAAATGTAAAATATAAAAGAGTGATTTGTAACAATATCCAAATTTCGTAAAATATATTCTAAATTATTTAGTATCTAAAAATTCCTCAAATTCCAGTTCACGAAAAATTATGTCTGATAAATTTTTATGGGAATAATTTTAACGATGGAAATTTATTTATTTAATTTCCTCAAAGTTACAGAAATTTATTTAATTTCCACAAAATAATGAAAATTCCTTTATTTAATTTTCAATTATTTTCATTTTTAATTATTTCATTTTACTGAAATAATGAAAATTCCATAAATTTCCAATTTCCAAGAAATTCGACTAACTAAATTTCGTCTTGCAGTCGCTTTTAGCTACATCTGGTACTCCAACTCCCGCCTGTTCCTGGAACTGCATTACGTGAAGAAAATGCGGAGACTGAGAAGAGGCCTGAGGAACGACTCGAATCTGATCCCTCATCGTCTGTACTCCAAGTACAGGACACGATCGTTTACGACCTTGATATCTTACGAGAGTTACGAAACCTATGACACCAACGACACGATCTCGAGTCTCGACGATAACTTAACGCCAGCCCAGAAGACGATGAAGATCTTCGGACTGACGGAGCAGGACATCGCTGACGCTCGTGCTAGGATCAGAGAAAGAGAGATCCACAGAAGATTGACAGAGGAGGAGGACGAAACGTTCGCGAAGAGTCCTAGAGACTTGTCTCGGTTCTTCATCAACAGCGAATACGACTTAACCGCGATGAGAGACAGAGTTACGCAGGATGAAGCTACGAAAGACGATATTGATATCAAAGACGAAGCTAAAATAATTGAAGATACAAAAGACGAAGATGCGAAGGACAAAATTGCAGAGTCCGAAGATGCGAAGGATAAAGTCACAGAAGTAGAAGACACGAAGGACAAGGACACTGAAGACAAAGTTAGAGATGTTGAAGACAGCAAGCAGAAAGTTAGGAAAATCGAAGACACGAAGGATAAGGACACCAAAGACAAAGTTAGGGATGTTGAAGACACGAAGGATAAGGACACTGAAGACCAAGTTAAAGATATCGAAGACACGAAGAATAAGGACACCAAAGACAAAGTTAGAGATGTCGAAGACACGAAGGATAAGGACACTGAAGACCAAGTTAAAGATATCGAAGATACGAAGGATAAGGACCCCAAAGATAAAGTTAGAGACGTTGAAGGCAGTCATGAGGAAATTACAAGAATCGAAGATACGAGGAAGTTTACGAAGATCGAAGACTTGGAAAACCTAATTACGATGATCGCAATCAGAAAGATCGAAGTCATGATGGATGGACCCGAGGAAGAAGTAAAGGATGAACTTGTAATAATCAAAACTGCGGAAGACGAAGCTACGAACGAAGTCAGCGACGAGAATTCTATTCCAGTAAGCTTCGTATCTTATTTGTTGATTGGTGTTAGTGAAACAGTATCTCTAACACGAATTAGCGAATTATTATTAATGCTGACTATCACTCTACGATCTTGCTAACCTTCGACTGACGTTTAAACGATCTTAGGTCACGATAGTGACGTAATCTATGGGCAACCTCGTGACCCGCCGACTTTCTTGCGGCTTGAATATGATTTATATGACTCTCGGGTAACCTTAATATCGCCTTGACCTTGACATAATCTTCGCAATCCTATTGCCATAATGCCTTCTCGGATACTTTCCATCTACAATACTTCTTAGATATAATATCTTATTTTAGTGCATTATCTTCCAAGATTATAAGCAAACACCATCTTCTCCTCACTCTTCTCATCTCAAATCTTATGAAATAGCAGAATATTAACGCAATATATTATTATATATGTAGGATCAAATTTTGGGTGACTTTGGATTGACTTAAGATAGCATTGTTGGCTTCTTAATAGAATAAAATAAAAATAAAATATAAATAAGAATAAAATAAAATTGCGCGTAGTCACCTTTGTTCTAAGTTCAAACACTCCCGACAATTCTTCAAGGTCTTACTCATTCCAATCTTACATATAATATTTTTTCTCCAAAAATCTCATTTTACCATTTCCAAAACTTCTATCCATGTTTCTTCGTTCCAAAAATTTTCCTCGAGTTCTTACCTACAATGGTTTACTATATTTTACATCCGCCATGTTCTACGTATATCATCTTTCGACTCTCAACAAACTAAGAAACTAAGTTACCACTTTGACTGCCACGTTGGTCATATATGACGAACCACAGTTTCTCCTGTGACGCCACGGTGGTCCTTGGTGACCGGAGCGCTTGAACTAAGTACTTACAATTCTAAAAATTGAATAAAAATTGACAGTTAGTGCATTCCGAATATAACCGCTAATTAGAAGATACTTCGAAATAAAAATTGCTCCACTGAACAATGAAAAATTTTTATTAGAACATCGATCAGAAAAATATTAGAACAAACCTTGCAACTATCTTGCACTGTGTTTCCCGTGGCGTCCTGAGCGAAACTGTGATTTCGACGTGGCAGTCAAAGTGTTGAGAATCTAAATGTTATCTAACTCTGCAGAGTCGTTCATCAGCTTCCTCGATCACGAGCAGCCACGTCGAAGTACTGCAAGACAGTGAAGAAACTTGTGACAAATCGGACACACCGCTGAGCCAATGTTCCTCTACGAAGAAGAGGAAAAGCATGGACTCTTTCGAGACGAAAGACACGAAGCAAATGAAGCTCTGTCCTTCTTACCAGGGGGACGAAGCGGAGCAGTCCGACTCGAAGAGCCAGGACACAGAACACGCGAAAAGCGTCGAGAAAGCTAGCAGTCCTGTAAAGCTGCAAACGCTGATGAACTGTAACTGTATCGTGGATGAAGATTTGTATAGGGAAAACATGGAAGAGTACTGCTTGTCGAATAGAACCGCTATGAAGACCTCGACGCCGAACGAGAGCGTCGAAACTGACAAAATGGAGTACGTGGACAGCGACGTGGAGAGCTCGAGGAACATGTCGTACAAATCCTGCATCGATGTCTCTCATGATACTGAGCTCGTGGTCTGTACCAATCATCCATTGACAGAGAAGTTGCTGCAAAATGATCTGGAAATATTGAAGAATGTCAAGAAGGATGATCAGAGATTGGAGAGCGATTCGACAGCTAGCAAATCAGAGATGAAGGCTTCCACGATGTTGCACAGCGAGTTTGGTGTGCTTCCAGAATCGTCTACGGTACGATCTGTGGTCTCAATCGAGGCTCAGAATCTGGTAGACATAGTGAGAGACCTGGGTAAACCGAATGTGACGAATTTGGGAAATTTAAAGGGTAAGGATGAAGAAAATAGGACGAACCCGAAGCCTGAGAAGAAGGAGATACCGAAGAGTTTGGTTTCGATGTCTGTTATTCATAGTGGTATGTTTATACTATTATATTACACAGTAGGACTTGGATTATTCGAACCAATTACACAACTGTTCGAATATTTTTCTATTGATTAAATAACATTATTTTTATACAAAGAATGATCGTATCTGTATTGAAATATTCTACGAAAAATGAATATGAAATATTTATATTCTTCTAACGATTGAATGATGCTATTTTCATACAAAGAATGATCGTATTTGTATTGAAATATATGCTACGAAATATGAATATTGAATAAGATTATCAACTTTCCCCTGAAATTAAATCATTTTCCTCAGTTCAGCCTAGGTTCGCATAATCGAGGTTCCATTGAATCATCGTATCGTTTATTCACAGTTGTTCATAGTTATATATAATTATCGATGCCGGAATACGTTCAGGAATTTCGATTCTGTATTGAAATATTCTACGAATTACGAATATTGAATAAAATTATCAACTTTCCCCAGAAATTAAATCATATTCTTCAATCCAGTCTAGGTTCGCATAATCGAGGTTCCACTGAATCATCGTATCGTTTATTCACAATTGTCCATCATAGTTATCTATAACTATCTATAATTATCTTTTAAACGTAACAGCAGGAAGTTTTTGAATTTATATATCTCGTGCTATAAATTAGTAGCATGTTCCTCTTCTTTTCGAATTTTTCAAATTTTTATTAAATAATTCCGTGTGAGTACTAAACAAATACGTTTTCAGAAATTCAGAGAAGCAAGATAGATTGTCCCAAGCAGGATACGAAGAAAGACGTATCAAAGGTAAACATCCAAAGGCTCTTCCAGGACTCGATGAAGGTGTTCGATGGTTGCTATGAAAAGGACTTCGCGACCAATATGGAAGTGCAGTGTCTGCTTCAGCAGATGGAGAAGAAAGAGTGGAGTATATTCCCCGGCCAGCATGACCAGGAAATGCTGATACCTTCGACTTTATCGAAGCAGAGCGATCGAGGCAACAAGTCATCAGCGATGCAAGACGAGACCATAACTTCTCATCTGAATACTGATCTCAAGGAGATAACGAGGTACGCGATAATTTAGATACCCTGATCTTTGGATAACGAATATTCATTTCAGCCTTCTCTAACCAAGTTTCTCGTTCTCATCTCACCTCCAGATACCAAATCCCATTGTGCATCAGCTCGAAGATCAGCTACGAACACCTCATGTCCCAAATGGTGCAAGTGAACGAGAAATCCCTTGTGAACGTGTCTGGTGCACCAGTCGAGGTTCATAAACTCGTTCAATCCAGCTCGACGAAGAGCGTTTACGTGCAGACCGACGATAATCACTACCTTCAGCACCTAGGAAGCTCCAGCACGAGTCTGGCAGAGTCAAGGAAACGCAGGAAGACATTCTTGAAGCACAAACGATTGAAGGAACAATCGAGAAGCGTCTCTCCGATCTCCACTCATTACGATCGTAAAACCGAACCACGAGGGTCGATAAGGAAGGACTATGGCAAGTTTCCAGCACGCCAGAAACCGAGTAGACCTAACGACAACCAGCAGAAACAGGTTAACCCAGCTAAATCGCAATCGGACAAGAACATCTGCGAATGCAAGGTGTCGCAAACCGAGAGCAAACAGACACTTGCTACGGACTCGAAACCCGACAGGAAGTACGACAACAGGAAGAACCAGGTGAAGAACAACGCAGAAACCTTCGGAACGATCCCTTTGTCGCAGGTAGTTCGTCCATCGATGTTCGATTCGGTGACCCATCGCAAGAAGCCTCCAGTGTACCCCAAGAAGCCCAAGAACGAGGTCCTGGCGCAGTCCAGCGCCCCTAGCGGCAACCCTAGAAAGTGCTCGACGTTGAAGAAGTATCTGGAAACGTCAAAGAAACAGATAGACAAACAGTCGTCGAATAATTCGAAGAAATACAGGTGGAAGAACAGGTTGAAGTCTCTGGAGGAACAGGAGGCTCGAGAAATGAGGGCTCTGAAAGCTTACAACGAGATCACACTGTTGAAAGACAAACAGGAGCTTGAAACCAAGAGGAAACTGCGGTTAGAGGGGAATGTGACGGATGTAGGTCCAGAGACCTCTAAACCTCGACCTTCCTCTAAGAAGAATAACCTTGAACGCGTGAAGAGGAACGTACCTCGAAATGTGGAACTGATATACGATGACTACCTGGGCAAGGAGAACCTGTATGTGGATGTAACCACGGAAACGACTGCTCCTTACAGAGACAGCAAGAAAACTGAGACCTTCAGCGTTGGACGAGCGTCGTTCAACGAAAAGTATCCTTGTCCCAAGTTGTCTAAGGTGAACAAAGTCGCTGACAAGCTGCTGGATAACTTCGACAGGCTGCATGGCGAGTACGCGAGGCAGGATGCGAGGAAGACTAGGCAGACTGTGGAAGCTGACACCAGAAAGCTATACACGAAATACAGCAGACCTAAGAAATTGGTCGAGGACGAGAACGTTTCGATAGGTTCTATGAAGAAGTTAGAGGGTACCCAGACAGGCCGCGAGTTGGAAAGAACACCTGCTAAGGAAGATATCAGGAATCCGAAGCTTTCCGAGGAGTCTTCTGATAAGGGTGAATCAACGTCGTCTGATGACCTTCGCGTCGTGGAGACTATGCTTAACGATAATTACGAGGAGTCTTCGACTTCTGTGGACGTCGTACACTTTGCGGCGCAGGCTGATCAGTCGCTGATGATTAAGTCCACTATACTTCAAGACATGGCTTCGTCCTGCTCCTTCGCTACTGCTGATCAAGAGAATGAGAATGAGCTCTCTATGCAAGGTAAAAACTGTTCCAATATTTTATTTCGTTTCGTTAATCTAGTGTTCTTAGATCAAGGAACGTGGAATAAGATTGACTACGAGTCGATGTACAATGAAGTTATGTATATTTACTAAGTTGGGTATATAAGACAGGTCGTTGATTCTAGGAATAATCATCCTTCGATATTCAACAACACGCAACCCTAATTAACCCTTATTAGTCGTAAGTCACTGCTTACGTGACAACAGTACTTTGTCGCTGTAGTTGTACGTCACGTGCGAAGTGACAAACGGAAATTTTTCGCTTATTTATCGAAATCAGCTACAACCTAGTGAGAATCACGTATAAAAAGCTAGCATCTGATAAGGGTTAATATTAAACAATTCTCGAGTTACCGTAAATTCCTCTGCTTCTTCCTCAGATGACCTAAGCGTAACAAGGAACAAAGTCCAAATAACGCTCGAAATCGAGGAGTGCAAAGGAAAATTCCAAATAACCCTGGAAGCTAAAGACCACGAAATTGAATTGGAGCCTCAAATGGACACGAAAGACAGTGAAGAAATCGAAAGTGAGATCAAAATAGTACCAAATATTGAAGAGTACCATAGACAAGACCAAGCAATACCAGAAATTGAAGAGTACCAGGAACAGTCTCTAATAATAACAGAGATCGAAGACTCCGAAGACCAAACTGAAGTATCAAAAATCGAAGAACTTGGAAAACCAACCCAAGAAATATCAGAAATCGAAGACCTTGAAAAACGAGTCCAAGAGGCGCCAAAAGTTGAAGACCAAACAAATCTAACCCAAGAAACGCCAAAATTCGAAGACCACCAGGAGCCAGCCCAGGAATCGCGAGAAGCTGAAAGCGATAGAAGAGAAGAAAGTGAAAAATCCGAAGATTCGAACGACATTTCATCGCTGTCTTTTGTAGAGTCCATAGACTATGAAAATCAAGTGCCAAGCGGAGCAGAAATAGCAGGAGCTAGGAGACACAACATCGAAGTGGTGCCAAGCGAATTTGACAGAAGCCCGAGAGTGCTGACCAGAAATCTATCAAGTCTGACGAGGGACTTCGACACAAGCTACTCGAACAACGGCATCAACCTAAACGTGATGAGCGACATCGTGGGCCAGGGCACCATCACAGCGATCCACAACGCGTTCTTCAGTCAATCCTCTGACACCACTTTCAACCTGACCGGCGAGATCCTGACACTGAACGACTCCTTGAACAACAGACATAACGAGACCCCAGTCGACGAGTTCATCTTCCACCCTGACAGGATATCCACGGGTCTCTCGACGCAGGACCTGCCTCCTCAGCCACACGAGGAAGACACAGAGCTGTCGTTCATCTCGGCAATCATTCGACAGTTTCATAATTTGCAAGAAGATCACGGAGAAGGGCTCTTCAGTCGGTTTATCACTTCTGCCGAGCAGGAAGGTCTGTCTATCAGCTTCGAGACGATAGATCTGGCAGACATCGCCGACAATGTCGACATCGCACAGATGATCGTCAATGAACTTGGACTCAACAACCCGAGAATCCTGAATCTCCGTGGATTCAACTTGGGGAACATCCTTGGGATACCCGAGTTTCTTCGTGACCCCCTGAACGACGACGAGGAAGAAACAGTGGAAACTGACGAGGAAGACGAAGAAGAAACAGCAAGAGTTGACGAAGAAGATAAAGAAGAAGAGGATGAAGAAGAAAACAGGCTGTCGATAGAGGAAGCCAAGGTGTTACGGTTCATTAAAGAGGACATTTTTACGAATATCAAGTTCCCCATCGTGATTAATTGGACTAATTTAATAACTAATGCTTCGACTACTTCGGACGAGTATCAGGTGAACGTAGAAGAGATAGACCTGGAAGACTCGAACGTGGAAGAGGTGAACGTGGTACTTCGTCGAGCAGAACCCAGCAAGACAAACTTGTTTTCGTTAATGGACGACAAGAATGAAGAAGAGAACGAGTTAGACGAGACGATGGTGGAAGAAGAAGACGAAGAAATGATGAGAACCGAAAGGCTGAAGCACTTGCGAAGAATTCAGGAAGCAGTGTTCGCAACGGGTCTGTCTTCGAGGCAGGTGTTGAGCGTGAGCGACTACGAAGTTAACGAAGGTATCCTGAAGCAAGAAAGAATGGCCACTTGCTCCAACGACTCGTCTTCGAACGGCAATGTCTTCGCGAATCTCTGGGGCAACATTAAGAGGTACATGCTGGTACACTCGAGGCCTATCGGGCTTTCCAGAAGTGCTTCACCTGACGAACGTTTGAAAAAAATTTACGAGACGTTAGATGAGACTGATGAAGAGATCGAGATCGACGTGGTAGGAAGTACGAACAGCGAGGGGAGGGAGAGGAACGATGCTGAAGAGATGATCGAAAAAATCATCATGATGGAAGATGCGGAGAATGTAGACAGGGAGCAAGAAGAATATGAAGGTTTGGATGAGAGCGAGAAGATGAGAAGAAATATTCGTACGACCATATTCGAGAAAGAAGAAAACGAAAAGACAACGATGGCGGAAGAAATGTTGGAAGAAATGCTGGACTACGAAGAGGAGAATGGCGAAGAAATAAACCAGGTCGAGAAAGACGAAGTACCTGGTCTCGAAGAGAAAGAAGAAACCGTGCCTTCGAGAGAAGAGATGTCCTTCTACACGCTGTTCACATTCTGGCTGCTCGTTTTCTTCTTCTACGTCCGATATTTTTCTAGGAAGGTCGTTTCGTTCAAGCAGAGCTCCACATCCACGACGACCTTGAGACCCTTCGAAATTCACACAGTGCCAATATCGACCTCCACGTTCGGGGAAAACGCAACACTGTTACAGGAGATCAAAGAAGAACAGGAAAAAGCCGAAGAAAAGAGCGAAGAAGACGAAGTAGACGAAGAAGAAATAACCCCGAGAAAATTCGATATTCGCGACCTGTCCATCACCGAATTGCAAGACCGACAAGAAATTCGTTCCGAAAGTTTCGTGATAAATTCCATCTCGTCGTTGGAATTCTTTCTTTCGTCTGATACCCTGCAAGATAATGACAATGACAAATTGAGTGCCACTGTGAGTAAAATTGACGCGAGGAAATTGCTGGTCACGTGTGAGGAAGAATTTAAGTCGCATTTAGAGGAAGAAGAACTGAATACCTTGCGATTCGTCGATGACTCGAGTTCATCGAGATCGATGCTGAACGGCGAGAAAGGATTGCCTATCGATGCACAGGATGAAACTTCTCGTTTCAGCGAGAAGATGGAAACGAACGAAGAAGAAAAGCGAAATGAGGAGGAACCACGAGAGTGTAGCGAGAGAGCATCGAAATTATCTTCTTCGAGAATTAACGACGAAGAGAAATTAGAAGGAGAGACGTGTGGGAGTGAGCAAACGAGTAGTCTAGGAGGAATGACAATCTCGAAGCAGAATATGGAGGAGACTAGAGCGTCTTTGGAAGAGGGAGAGCCTTTCCTGAGTTTGGAAACTCGTATGCAAATGGCGGATAGTTTCGATTCCACGTATAACGATTATTCCGAAGGATCGGAGAACTACTTTTCAGTGATGGATTTGAACGAGTCCTCGATGGAAGAATTTGCGAATATATCGAATGTATCGAATGTATCGAATGTATCGAATGTATCGAACGAGTCGGGTATATCGAATGGGTCGAACGGTTCGATCGAATCAGAGACACGCGAAGAAAACTCCTAATTAACCGATAGACTGATTTTAGTCTGATAAATAATCCGAGAAGATTATTCTTTTTCCTTTTTTTTCTTTTGGAGGAGGAGGAGAGACCATTTTTATTTTGCATTTTGTATGAGACAACTGTTAAAATATACAATACTTTCTCGTTCGGGTTCAATATCAACGTTCGATATCAGGTCGATACCGTTGAAAGATGCGACCTTTTCTTATGGCACGGTTCAAACATGTCCGACTTTGTGCAAAATATTATTCGTTTATCACTCGAAAGAATGGAAAGCGTGAATTTTATTTATTTCGTTCCTTGCATTACTACTGATTAGCTTATATTTACATTTTATCAGTGACTCAGTGTTTTCGAATAGCAAATATTTCGTAACACGTTCAATTTTCTTGCCGATACATTTATTCCTAACGAAGGACGTATTTTAAAGAATTTTTTGGTTTTCTTTTCGTTCCTTTATCGGAATCAGATTCTGTCTACTTAATTTGGGCAGCCTTTCCGAACGAGGTTCATTCGATTCGACCGACCTTTTATCCCGCTGTCTTATTGTATCGCTCAACGAGCTTAATACATTTAATTAAATACAGTTCCTGTTTGCCCTCGACATTCTTTCAACGACCATTTAATCGTTAGACTAAGTGTCACCGATTGTTTACGTTACCTATAATTTTATATTCAAATTCTCAAAGTTTTGTCCAATATTTCGAATCTCCGGACGTTCGAATTGCTGAGTTGACAAATTCTCAGGAATTCGAGTCTTTTCAGTTCTAAATTCCCAAACTGTCGAATTTTTAAAACTTTGAGTATTCGAACTTTCGAATTTTTAAAACTTTGAATAATCGAACTTTCGAATTTTTAAAACTTTGAATACTCAAACTTTCGAATTTTTTAAAACTTAGAATACTCCAACTTTCGAATTTTTAAAGCTTTGAATAATTGAACTTTCAACTTTTTGAAACTTTGAATACTCGAACTTTCGAATTTTTAAAACATTGAATACTCGACCTTTCGAATTTTTAAAGCTTTGAATACTCGAACTTTCGAATTTTTAAAACTTTGAATACTCGAACTTTCGAATTGTCAAATGTTCAAATATCCGGCTATACGAAATTCGAATTCCTTCTTCGATACATTCTTTCTCTCCTTTTTCGTCTCTGCTCTCCACCCACAGACCCTGGTACACCCACAGCCGACCACCCTCATCGTGAACGTCTCCCACCCCGGTGTCCGCTCACTCGTCAAAACATTCCGTGGTCACAAGTTCGCGACACTTGGTCCGTTGCGTTATAACTCGTTCGTCATTTCCACCGAAAGAAAAACCCAGCGTGACGGCGATCGGTTGGCAAACGACACGGCGCGGAGCAAAGAGGAGAGGAGCCGATCGCCACGTTGGTGCTGTGTTGGTTAGCCACCGGTGTAGGTGTACGCGTCGTAGGTGTACAGCTTCGCGGTCTGCCGCGGCGGCGTACTGTTCTTGGCACAGTTTCTGACCATCTCCTATTGCGAGCGGACCGCGCTGGACCTAAGCGTAATTTCGTTGCGCCTCGCGGCACCGAACTTTCTTTCTCTTTCGCCCCATTGTACCTCTCTTCCGGCCATCCCTTCTGCTTCCGCGCGCCTCACCCCCTCCAGAGGACACCGATCTTCGAAAAGTGAGTAAATCGATCGAAGGTCTCCTTCTCGGTGACCAAGTGAAATAATCGATTATAACTCGCATGGTAAATAACATTGTGAACGCCGAGGGTAAACGATAAGGGATGATGGTGGAGAAGTGATGGTGGAAAATTTGGATTTATCGGTGAACGACGGCTAGACTCGGGGAAGATAACGAAAGTGATAGTAAGAAATGTAAAAGTTTGTCAAGTGTCGTAGGTTTGGTAGATTTTCGTAGCTTTTAATCGCAATTCGTTCGATAAGTGAGAAGCTGGGAGATGTGTAACAGTATGAAGGGAACGATGACAGTGACGAGGGAAGAAAGTAGGAAGTTAAAGATTAGACACTCGCGAAAAGTGAGGGATTACGCTTGGTCTGCTTTTAGCGAGTCTAATAACCTCGAGAAATAATTAAAAGCACTTGATCGCTGATGCCATGTAACATTTTTAACGTAACTCGATCCTGGATGCGTTCGGTTTAATAAAATCGCTATACTGATCGCCGATCGAGAAAGGTTAACTCGAAAAATAAAGTAGATTCGACGTAACCATGTTACGACGTATAAAAGTATGTACAATTATTAAAACAGCCTGCTTGTAAAATTGGATAACCTAATAACGCGCTCTATAATCACTATAAAATTGCGTTTTTAAATTAAATTAAAATTAAAATTAAAACTAAAATTGCGAAAAATGATTTTCGTTGGATTATCCAAATTCGACTAAAAATCCGATTGAAGAATATACTTCTCGAATGTACGTCGCTAAAACTATCCATTACCGTGGTAATTGACGATAATCGCGGGGAATTGTATAATCGGCGAGCCAACGATTTCTTCAATTTGCTCCTGTAATGAAAGTGCATAGTAACGCGGGCGAGCGAGCGAGACAAAAATTGCTACGGCACTGTTTATCGTGGACCACGCACGACGTGTAAATAATGTTCAAAATTCCTCGCCACTTCTCAAGAAACGCGCCGAGATAACGAGCCTCTGCGTTACACGTGAACGTTGACACGATTCGTTCGAAAATTTTTCCATTTTCAAATCTTGCGAATTATTTTCCGTCTCTCGAATACGTCTCTGCATTTCGTTTATATTCCCCTCCTCAGCTTGACGTTTTACGTCAAAGAGGAAATTAATATATCTGCTCGAATTACGTTTCAAACTTATTTCCATTGTCAGCAAGCAAACGCAAATTCTAGAGAACAAAACGAACCGCTTGCAAAAGGCAGTAACGCTCGGATTACTGAAATCGAGACGGGCTCCCTGGATGCAGGAGCCGTCCAGTTCAAACGCATCTTCGTTCCCGACGTTTTCAAGGAACGAATGTTTTTACCGACGATTTACCGTAGTGCCGTGCGAGTTTCTTCGCGTTATCACTGGGCGGACAGACGTAGCCTGTACCATTTATCTGCAGCGAAGTCTCGTCGAGATTTCTGGCTAAAATTTTTGCTCATTATCGACGGATGAGCCCGGTTATCTTAGAAAGAGTTGCAAAAGCTACGTGAACTTTGATAGCTCGAATAATCAAAATAATGCAGATATCTCGTGATTACTGTCGATATGTACATATTTTACATTTCTCCAAAATATTTTATTTTCACTTTCATATGTCACAAATCACTTGCACTTCTTTTCCCTTTTCTGTTTTCTATTGTCCTCGCTTGATTCGTTTCTTTCCGATTCACTTGTACAGATTAAATTTCTTAATTAACTACTATCTTTATGACATCGAACTACATACGTGAATCGATAACCCTATCAAGGACTAAGAATGTAATGAACATTCTCCATCAAGTTAACCTCGCCAACTTCGTTACTCTCCCAACCCCCATCTCTATTTCCATTTTCGTACTAACTTCGATTCTCATGAATGACCAACGAAAGAGAAAGCAGGCTTAGAAAAAGAGGAAAGAAGATCGTGAGTCAAACTCGCAGAGATAAACAAAGTGGAGAGACACGGTGGAAAAATAGAAGCACGCGATCGAGACGAATGAAATGTGCAGCGATTCGCAAATGGACCACGAAAAATCGTAGGCAAGAAACAGAAGGATGTTCACAGCGGCAAGCGAAAAGTAAAAGGAGGCCAGACTCGCATTCACGACTGTGAACCATGAAAATACGCGTGTACCAAGTGCGCAGCAAAACTGCTGTTAACATGCGTCACTAACGTAACGTGGGTCACGTGGATCTTCATTGATTCCATTTAAAAATGCTGGCGTAGAGAAAAGGCTCATAAATTTTTATTATTCGTGGAAAAAATTTCATGAAAATCTTAATGTTTACAAATGTAATTTAATAGCACGTGAGAATTCTATTCTTTCCCTTGTGCTCGAAAAAAATTAGAACGCAGCACCGTCCATGAAACGTGATAGTTTTTCCTGTTTCCTTGGTAAACACGGAAACCGATTACGAAAGAGGTGACACGCGACGTGATATCGGTATTCCATGACCGACACTGCACCTGACTTGGAGGCCGCGGCGGATACTGCACAAATAAAGACCCTCGATAAAGATCTGAATCGGAAATTCTGATGACGATTTTCAAACGCGAATCACCACGGTCGTCTTCGTCGCGTGACGTACCGACACGTATGCTTTGAACGCGTGCGTAAACTTCTTACCAGTCTACTTCTTTTCATAGTAATAGTCGAGTTATATTTTCTTTCCTCTGACAATTATGTTGATCCTTACCTCAATTATGGATCATTGATCCAATCATCGAAACTATTTTGTTTTGTTTGATACGAAGTATATAGATGAGAGTAATATTCTAATACGATCTTTTGTAGCGACACCGATTTAGGGTGCGAGAATTGGTACGAGTGAAGGGACGCTAATTTCCGACAATCAATAATTGATACTTATACAAATTAGATGGCGTTCTACATATTGCAATTACTGTTTTAACATACGTAGATTCCACTGACTCTTCCAAATCTTTGTTATTTTATTTCAGGGTCTATTCGTTCTGTCACGAGAAGAATTTGAAATGCAAAGAAATCGTAAATAAAAGGCTCACGTGATATTGATTCCCCACTATCTGTTTCACGGAAGGGACAGCGCCCTGATCGAAGAAAAGGAAGCTCTGCTAAGTAACTGGTCCGCCCTTTCCTCGCTTTCGATTAATGCCTGTATCTGGGTCAAGAATAATTGACCAGACACCACATAAACATGCGTATCAAGTGGTTTTCTATTTTTTTTTTAGGTCGATTACCGAGCGTAGGCCGCCTAAATTTAACACGAATTCCACTCGTGCCCTCACCACAATTTGTCTCGTATTCGTTCAACGTGATTAACTTCGCGTGTTTTTTTCAAATTTTCGCGCCTCTTTTTCTTTACACAATCACTTTTCTTTTTGTCACTGCGATGATTTTTAAACATCAAATTTCAGATCTCTTGTCCTTTTCCTCTATTAAACCATCAATGCTTATAATTCTTTCCGTAATTCATATCCAAGTTGACGTAAAACTACCCCTAACCTAAGATTCGTCGATTAAACAAAGGAACTTCTAAATGAAAGTTCTTTCTTAATTAAATTTCAAACATACCAAACTACTGTGCTACATACCCTAAATCGTACTTGAAAGGAAACATTATAAACCGCCTCCGTAACCACGAGCAAACGCCTTCTCGTGGAAAACAACCTCTCGAGGCCGAGCGTGATCTCTCACTCGATGACGCAACGCAGTTTTTGCAAGGAATACGGCATACAGACCGACAAAGTGACTTCGTACTGCATCAGAATACGCGATTTAATCTTCCGTGATCGTTCTCTCTTGCATTTCGTCCGTTAAGTGAACCTAACCTAACCGACGGAACGTAATCGACAGTAATGCACGCGTCGAGACACTGGCAATTAGATCATAAATATTAACAAACGATTTTTCCAGGATCTTGTCTTTGACACCGAACGATCGGCTCGTCTAATGTGACCTTATTTTGTGTGTCATCGCTGCTTATAGACTGCACATTACGTGTAATAGTTGCGTGCAAATGTTATCATACCACTGATGAATGCTCGCAGCGCTGTTTGTTCTAGTCATTTCTTTTTTTACTTCTTTACGATTTTAATGATAGAACGAGAAATGGTGAGGAGGATTATTTTCACGAGAGAGAATTACAAAGCAAATTAGTTGAGTAAAATTCAAGTTTCGTTGAATTGTTAATAATAACTTAATGTCACGATGTCGCGAACAATTGAATGCAAATAAAATTATTCAAAAATCGCATGAAGATTGTAGTCGGCATAACGATTGAACGTACAAAGTATTATACAAAATTTAGTTTCCTTCTTTTTTTTAATAATTGCATCGCAAGTGCAATTCTTATAAATGGAAAATTTTATACATATCGATATGACATAAAATAAAACGTTTAAATAGCTAAGGATCAATGAAATCCAACAAATTCCTTTCTCTTCTTAGAAACAATTTAGCCATCTATCCTTTTACTCACAAAACTCATTCTATCGAATCATCCCCATAATCAAGCTCGACCTCGAGCGAACTCACGATTGACCGCGAGTAAATGCGCGTTTTTCTCTTCCATTGTCCGTAAGACGCGTCCTAAAGAACATCAACGGAAGAATCGATCGCGTACCAGATGGTTGGGTCGTGTCCCGTGTCATTTAATGGTCGAATAAATCACGGATTCGTGCGTTCTGAGGTGAGGCAGAAGTGGAGCGAGCAAAGAACCGAGCAGTGGCCAATGTCAACTGACTGGTTCTTCATAGACGACGCGTTTCCTTTTTACACGAGGTGAACCAGAGAAATCGCGGGAACAAGAGATCGAGATGCATTTCCTTATGGGGCCTGCCAGGTCTTGGCGATGCCTTGTGATCGCCATGACCGTCACGGTCGCCTGTATCGACCGATCTCACGGCAATCTCCTTTTCCCGCCACCGAATCCTCTGCCTTTTCCTGCTGCTGACTAACTACTTTTGCTACTCCTTTAAACGATACCGAGCTTCATTCGTTTATCACGATCAGGTTACCTTTCCCGTTACCGACGTTTCTTCTTTAGAAGGGACACAAACGAAGCTGATGAAACGTAAAAAGTCAGAGCTCAGTGGTGTTGGTAATTTGTTTAATTAGGGTTGCTTCGTTGAGACGGAGGTTCGTACGGTCTGACGACCGGATACGACAGCCTGGAGGAATAACAAACGCGAAAAGAAAGGTCAGCAACGGGTAGACCGAAGAAGCGCAGAGGCAAACAGGCGAAAATAGACCCTAGCCACCTATGCCAATGACCCATATTCCCTCTATTCTCGGCGTGCCGCGAATTAAACTTCGTCGTTGTAATGCCACATGCTCGAGATCGCGACCATCGCCGTTGGCCCTCTTGATGTCTTTCCATTTCCGCTTCATTCTAATCCCCTGGAGATTCACTTACTCACCAAACGCTTCCCAATTTAGAAAATCCAACGTCGAGCCTTTACGATTCAACGTACGCTTCGCGCGACGACGTTTACGCAGTCTGTTTTCGCATTTTGGTAAAATCGTCGTGTCTTCGATGACGCAACGAGCTATCCAGCGTTCTCGTTTGCATGGGAACAACATTTAGAAATTTCTGCGTCGCGCTTGGCCTGAAATAAAAATGAGTAAGTTGAGGTATAGCGTGGTGTCGCCAGCTGCAACGTAAGAACGCGAATCTTAATACGCCACGTGTACTTGCGAATATTATGGTTCATGTTAACAAATTCGTGGAATTGTTAACAAAATCGTGACATTAAGGAAAGCAACTTGAATGCTGAACTTGGATAGTTGCGTCATAATCCTTTAGTATTGCCTGGTGACTCAATGGTGCGTGAATCATGGTGGTTAATCGGGGAAAACTTCAAGTTTTCCATCATTCCCAGTTTAAATTTATAACTTTTCCTCTATCTTAGGATCTGTGAAGAAATTTTCTCTAAACCGGTTTGGTTCTGAACAATGTTTGAAGGTTGTAAGTGAAATATTATGAAGCATCAGTGAAGGAAGAGAAATGCTGATACGACAGGAACGAAGAATCAACTGTCGATCAGCTATAAAAATACGCGAGCATCACGTAGATTCTAATTCTACCCGTGATCTAAATTCTATCAGAGTACCTGCATGACATTTGCAGAGAAAGACAGATCGACAGAATAATTAAGAACATCTGTCCCTTCACTTTGCGACCACAATATAAATTATTGTCTTCTTTTTCAGAATGCAGCTCACATCGTGTTGCAGATGTTTCTCGCTGAAAGCGGGGACGCTATTCACTGGAATATTAGGCATAGTAAGTACAACATAAAGCTTTGTCATTTAAATTAATCGAAGCCCTTTCTGTAATGTGTTCCTTTCGTCGTTGATTAGATTTTATCGGTCATCTCGTTGATCATGATCTTCACTTTGAATGTCGAATGGAAGACTATACTGATCGACGTAGTGGACCAGAACATCGTCAGGATCATTTTCGCGATAAACTTGTGCATGACGATCCTGATCTCGACGCTGCTCATAATAGGGGCCCTGAAGGTAAAATTATTTCTCGATTAATTTTATTAGTCTTACTGTATGAATTAAAGGAATGAGAATTAATTGATTTCTTATTATAGAAAAATACGTTTATGATGTTACCATGGGTGGTTCTGGGCTTAATTCTAGCGATTGGTCTATTGGTAAGCGTGATCTACACATCCATCATGTTCTTCGTGAATAGCGAGACAATAAATGGAATTCTGTGGCTCGTCATTGGCCTTGTAGCCGTTGGTGAGTAGTGTCGTTTTATGTTCTTTTATTTTTATTTTTATATCTTTTATATACCTTATGTTTTATATCTCCTAATCTTAATTTCCATGGTAACCTTCTCTTTATTCTTATATACTTCTTTGAATTTCCTTTTACTTCTGTAAAAATATAAAAAATGGTTAAAAGAATTATCATTTAAATGAGAAAAAAGTATTCCTTCGCGTTAATAATCTTTTAGCGTTCTCCGAAGGAACGTCATGACTATGTTTATGTTTGAGTTAGTAATTTATTTCAAATTCATATTAATGCTTAATGTTTTTTCAGTGATCTACACGTACTTGTGGCTGGTAGTGTACAATTACTTCCAACAGCTGAGGTACGATAAAATGAACAGCAGAATTGGCCCATACGGAAGACCGTATAATTATCGACGGCCTTGAAATAAATCGGTGATTTCATGAAGAAAAACACTCACATGAGGTTTCTCCTTCGCGAAAAGATTGGACTGTTTTTTATTTTAATCGATAAGTCAGCGTTATTGGCATGGAAGAACAGTCTAATTACCTCAGGAGGAGTTACTTAAAAGTTCAATTAGGGTATTCGCACCAAAGCACAAGGCATTGCCTTTCGAAGATAGAGGATTTATCGTGTTTATAAAGCAAGACTAATTGTCAAAGAGTAGATTAGAATATATTTATGGCACCAAGATGCTCCCTCGAATGATAATCGATATCTTCTTCTATAACTATATTCAACTTATTTTTAACATTCTCCTTTGCGTAAGAAATAAATACGAAACTTTTCTAGATAGATCACTGTATTTATATAAACTACACTTCATTTAAATTGTCTACCTCTTTTTTACTTTTTTTAAATAAAAACTGAGTCGTTAAAAAAATAAAAATTGTACTTATGAAATAGTTCATAATTCCCTTTGATAAAATAAAATCACTCGCACTGAAAATTTAAGACTTTTAGTACATCTCACGCATCATGAAAGAAGGAACGAATTCATATTCAAAAGATACGCACCCCTTTTTCATTCTATACACGAATTTCCACCTAACGTATTAATAGTAAGATACACCTCGACGACTAGCATAGCCCACAAAGATATATAGTAAAGAAACGAAGAACGACCATCGTTCGAGGGTGCAAGAAGAATTATGAAACGCGCTTCGTTTCAAGCGGGATCGCGAGGGAGGAACGCATTTTTTACTGGGAAACAGACATTGCCAGTTCGCCAGCGCGATATCAAAAAGGCGAGGCTGATCCCAGGCAGGACGCAAATAGATTCCATTTTCAAGGATAACGAAAATGTTAAGCGTATGCAAAAATATACGCGTTGCCACAGCGCGAGAACCAGTCACTCCTACGCAAGGTTAACGACTGACTTTATTTATTTTCCTGACCCCACTTTTACTCTCTTCTACTCGTCTTTCTACCCGTGTAAAGATCTACCATTTGTAACTATTGTTACCGACTATGAGAAATAAATTATTCTTTGTTTGTAGTTCCCTCTTCATTTATCCTTCTTCACCCTCTTCGTTATAAGTTCTTCTTAGAATGAGATTCTTCTGTAGATTATATTTTTATATTTACGTATACATTACGAATATTTATATATGCGATTATTCGATAGATAGATTCAGCATTTACCAGTTCTCTAGATGTTTGCGGATAAATAAAGAAAACGAGGCAGCGGCAAGACCAGTAGTGTGGCTGTCGCAACCAAAATCCGTCTGCAACGAGGCTCTTCGTGACACGCGTGTTTCGTTTCTGGGAGATAAACTTCTGCAGACAGTAACATTGAATATTATATAAATTATTCATCAGTTCTGTGAGTATAGATAAAAGATAGAATTTTATTACGAGAAGCATAGCGATCGGTTTTCTTATTCGCGATACGTACCCGAAGGAACTGAAACAGCCGCTAGGGTGGGACCAACCCAGTATTAATCGTGCATAGTGCTCATCTGTGAACTCCAGGAAACCTTCCATACCGCACAGAAGAACTTTTCAAATGAAAAGGAACATATATTTAACAAAGTGAAAAGTAGGAATTTAAAAAATTCAAAAAATTTTGTTTACCTTGTTCCATCATTAAATCCCGCGTTTGATATGGAAATCCAGCTACCTCGATATCGATCAAATCTTGTAAAATCGCGGAGCAATAAGAGAGTATTAATTCAGAAGATGGAACACCTTGGTCGCAGTTCAACTAAAAAAGAATGAATTTCGGTTAAACAAATGGATATATAAAGAAATAGTCTGAAAAAAAAATAACAGGAATACTGACCACTTTAGCAATTTGAACGATCAATAATCGATGAGTAAGAGGATACCCTCTAGTGGGTCCTCGAGTCGCCAATATCTCGGCACATAAATCAGGAAATCTGTGATTCGAATTCAATTTATTCCGAACGATTTCACCGAGACATCGATCACTTTCTTCCTCCTTGGGCGCTCCTTGCATTACCAAGTCTCGTATATCTTGATAAGATAATTCAAGATTGACCCACCCCCTCTCTAGGGCACCACGCCGCCATGATATTGCTTTCATCCATAAAGCAGGATAATTTATCGTTTCGTGCACTGCAATGGAATGGACTTCACTTTGGTATTTAAAAATAAAACTTTTTAATACGATGTATATCTCTTTTAAATTAATTTCCTTACGTAATTGGACATTTTCATTTTTTGAATTAATCTTCTCCAATAGGAATTGTCTTGTCGAATCACAAAGTTTCAAAATTCTTATTAATCCATTTCGTTGTTCATTATTAAACCATTGAATATTTTTACCAACGAAAATAGCAGCCACGTTAGCTATTTTTGAGATAATAACACAGTTATGTTTTGCTTAACACGTAATGATAAGAATACTCGTTAAAATTTTAAATATAGAACATTATTACTTTACCTTCGATGATTGTTAGAGATAACGTAACATCAGCATTCATTTGACGAGGTCTTTGGTGAATGTATTCGATCACTTTAGACAGCGCAAGTAATGTGTCTTCTATAATAAATACAACTTTAACCTCGAAGTCTAAAACTGCATAAAATTTGAAGTAGTCTATGCTACCAAATAAAATTTAACAAGAAATTCACAGAGAAAGTTCTTCATCGATTACCTTAATTATTACGAAAAATAATAAAATAATTTACTGGCAAAATTGAACAAAAATCACAAAGGATTCGAAAATCTCTATCGATCTCACCAAAATCCTTAGAGACAAAGTTGCCATAGTTCCATGGCGGGAAACTGCAGACAAGCAATACTACACAAACAGTAGTGACACCTCCAAGGATTTCCATGTAGCTTGTTCGCAATGCTAAAGGAGCTGAATCTCGGCTTCCCGCGACTTTATAGCAACAGCCCCACTGTTATACCCCATATATCTACGCGATTTTAACGAATTTAAAATCGAACCAGTTCCTCTTTGTCACGTACACCGGAAATGCGACCACTTTTCTTCATAAGGATCGACGTGTCGAATCCTAGAGGGTACACTTGTAAATGAAAACGGTTTCGAAAACCACTCGTGGGTGTTTGATTAACATTCGATAGAACGAGAGAAAGTAAACGAAACGAATGGTCAATGATCGATCTTGATTAACGTGAGACTGTGGTGAAGAAGATTTCTGTTTTATTGACAGACACATTTGCAGTATAAAGTGAATTTCTTAGATAATTCTTAGGAAACAGTTTTAGATTGAGCTTGAAAATAATTTATGTAAAAAATTAGAAACAGTCAGGATGAAAAAGATCCATGTAATCGCCGGAAACACAACCAATTACTTCGTGACCTAATCTCAGGCACTTTCCTGTTTTCTTCCTGGTCTATAAATACAATAATGATATACTTTTATTATTTTATTGTTTAAAAAAATATTAGAACAAGTAACAATAAACTTACAACTTGATACTCTATTTGACAAATCCTATTATCAATATTATCAGAATTATCCTCCATTAATTCAATCTAAATTCCAATAGAAACAGAGACATATAATAAGAAATTGATAATGCAAATCTTTATTTAAGTCGAATAAATTAATATATCTTTTACCAGATTGGGATATCTATGAGTCATGATTATGGGAGTTTGGACACCATTCATTGATTCTGGTGATTCTACCGTCCTCGATACAGTCTTCATTGCAAGAGCCGAAATCATAATTAAAACGACGAAATAAATGAATTTCGGCATCCTTTGCAAAAAATAATTATTTTACATAACTATACTCGATATGACGATTAGTAGAATAAACAAAAAATATTAAATGATGACATCAGGTATAGAAAAGCAGACGACTTACATGCAAAAAAATTTATTCGTAAACTCTCCTTTGAACGAGAAGAAACATAAAGGAGAAACGTAACACTGTCGCTATCCTAGCTACAGGCATCTTTTATATTCCTCCAGAAGCCAACCAATTTCTTTTCGATTACAAAAAGGTTTCGTCCCGTTACGAAAATTGTCCTTCTTTTTATACCATACAAATTACGACATACTAGTATTTTTTATATGTTGAATAAATAGAGATAAAATTTAGAAAAAAAATAAAAGTTTGTAATTAAAAATAGAAAAACTTTAACATTTCAACTGTTAAATTCAAATTTGATATTTATACTTCAAAATTTGAAAGGCAGAATTTAAAATTCAAATTTAAATTTCAAAATTTAAAATTTGAAATTCAAAAATTCAAAATTTGAAATTAAAAAATTACAATTTGAAATTTAAATTCAGATAAACATATTACTGTTTTATCTGTTATTCCCTTATATACAGCACAAACAAAATTTATGTATCTCAATAGTAACTCTTCAACAAAAAAGTAAGAAAATAATTTATAAAAATAATTGTATATTTGTTTAATAATATTGAATACAACTGCTTACATTCAATAACCGGTTGATAATTGTGGTAAATTTTTATCAATTGTTTATAATGTGAATTGCAGCTTTAATAAAAATTTTAACACTTAACACTTAAGGTATTGAACTGCTTAGTTGTTGCAATAGAGAAATATTGCCATAAATTGTTCTCAGTATTATTTAATCATGTAACATTTATTTCATATTTAACATAGATAATAAATTATTTCTGGAAAATGTCAATTAACATAAGGTATATAATAATACTAATTTATAGAAAATAAGAAACTATGTAAAATAAGCAATATATTTAATACAAAACAATTTTCTTTTTAATGGATTTCTGTTATTATTTTATTTCTCACATTTCATTGTTTCTTATTTATTAGTCTTTTAAATGTTAATATGATTTACAACTAATTTATGCATTTCAGATCATACATCTGAATTACATCACAAAAATATATAAAAATAAATCTGGATATGTGTAAAGAAAGATTATATATATTGAGGAAATTAAAATCATGTCAGTATACCACCAGTCTTTCATAATCACTTAAACTTCTTACATAAATTACTAATGTATTTTCAATTACATCTTACAATGTCTCAATAGCAAGAATATACATATATTCATATGATTTATATGAATATTTTTACTAAGTGTGTGATGAAAGTACAATAAGTGTACTATACTATTTTGTCACATATATACCTTCTTCATATTTCAATAAAACATATTTAAATGTTAGTGTCACAAAAATTAATATGAAATTGAAAGTTATATACTTCAATGGAATACAGATATAAAATAATTATATCCAAAACATATCATAAAAAACAAGTATGTAATAAAAATTATTATATAATATAGAAACTACATTTACTACAATTAATATGGTTGTAATTATGAATTTAAGTACATGACTTATAGTTTAATGAATCATTATATAAGACTTTTATACTATCCCCTTTATAATGTGATATATAAATAATAGAAAATATTAAATAATATTCATTAATCTTTTTAGTTTACACAATTCCAACACAATATCAGTCTACAACAATTAAAAATTACAACTGAACTGAATAAAAATATTGACAATGTCCTTTTATCCTTGAAATTCTTACCATAAATGCAGTAAAAAATAGCTTATTTGCATTGCTATGACGATTTAAAACGTTTCTCAGTGACATAATCTAAATGTAATGTAGAAGTAATTTAAATCCTGAATCATGAACGATTACGTTGATCAATATTAACATTAAATTCATTTTCAACTTGGAGTCTCAATCCTAAAGCAGAAATCAGAATGAGCACCAAAATTGGTATACGATAACGAGACTGCCAACTAAGTTTGATCATAAATATCAAGCCACGGTGAAATATACCACCGTTGCCTAAGAAGGCTTCAGATGCTGTTGTTTTCATAATTATAGTAGTCATACAAAAATCGATTATGATTTTTATAACTGATATTCCTCTTCAGTGAATTAATTTGAAATGAAGATAAAAATTACAATAATCTCAAGTCAGTATTTCCATACTCCAATGTAACCTGTGTAAAATACAAATAATTACATATAGATAGTTTTCATGAAAATTACTTTTGAAAACATTACCTGTTACTGAACAAGTTAACCTTCACAACAAAATAACTATTTACGTTACACATTCGTAACTAAACAATAGCAATTAAAAGCAAACGATATACATCATTCTGTTTCCAGTAGATTTTTCGAGAAATGACGTTTCGTAGAGGTTAAAACTCAAAATACACTAACTTTCGACGATCAACACTTTTATGCTGTTCATTGGTTATTGAAATTGTTGATACTTATCAGTCTGACTTGTCTACTTTCTTTCAAAGACAAAATAATGCACTTGTAACAATTTCTATTCAAATGTAAATTTGACAGATTTGTTGCACGAAACTGACTCACGATATCGATACATAATCGATAATTCAATATGACTTCTCAAACCTAAAAATTTTTAAATGCAAGGCGAGAAATTGATTTAATATTTTCTGCATAAACAGTTAATATGGTCTTCCATATTCTATAAGTAATAGCAAGAAAGAATTGATAGATATATATCTTCTAAGACTTTATTCGAATTATATGTAAGAAATCTTTGATAATGATCGTGATATAAGAAATTAAAGTAACTATTACTTAAATAATGATAATATCAAAATAATTGATTCTTACAAATTCAATTTTTAAACTGATAATTAATAACACGATAAAACTTGAAACAAATTTGAATAAGCGCCGAAAGTTTACTCTGCCCTCTGTAGTGCTAATATCAATGCACATAGTTGGCGATCATTGGTGGGAGACAGAATAAGCATACAGGAGAAGTAATATTACCCAGCAGTTAGTAAGGCATGTGTAGTCATGAATATCAGCTTCGAGGGAAAACGTATTCTTGTGACAGGAGCTGGACAAGGTATGCTACATAACTAACATGATACACATAATATGATGTAATCTCAATTTTTTTATATCCATTTAAGTTTGGATTGTATATTAAGGTGAAATGAATATATTTTAAATTTCTTTTTGAATCTAATTATATTTCCGCATAGTTACAAATATCACTTATCGATAGAGAATTTAAATTGAACCAATCAGAGAAAGTCTTGTATTTTTTACTTGACAATCGTAAATCGTGATAAAACTTATCTTAGTATACTTTTAGAATATTTATCTCTGGATAAATTTGTCGAATAAATATTGAATAAATTTCGATATTAATAACAATTTAATATATTGCTATTAATAACATATAAAATATCCTAATTTAAATTTCAACGTTTCATATGATAGTATCTCTCAATATTTCAATTATTTTTGTTTACTTTCCATTATCTTTCTAGTAAATGTCATTATTCTGTAGTTACCTTCAGTTAATTATTTACCGTTGGTTCAACTGAATTAATAATAGAAAATGTGTAACAAAATATTTTAGACAATTATCTTAAATTGATAAAGTAGAAACATTTCAATCACATTATTACATCGTGTTACATTGTAAATCACATTCATTCACATTCATTTCATGCGAGACGATTGCATCACTGATTGTTGCTTCTTAATTCTCCGTATAGAGGAAATTATCAGCTTAACAGGTTAAATGTTAAATCATAGGCATCGGCAGGAAGCTGGCTCTTCACCTCTCCAAGTATGGAGGTCAAGTCATAGCACTATCGAAGACGCAAAAGAATCTGGAGAATTTGCGCGAAGAAGATTCTCGTATTCAGATTATCTGTGTTGATCTTAACGACTGGAACAACTCCAGAAAAGCCGTTGAAAGCATATTACCGATCGATCTTTTGGTGAACAATGCCGGCGTTGCGCGCCTTAATTCCTTCTTCGATGTAACTCCGGAAGATTTTGATTTGACTTTCGCCGTAAATGTAAGGGCCATCGTGAATATCTCACAAATAGTCGCAAAAAATATGGTCGAAAGGAAAGTTGCTGGTAGTATCGTCAATCTATCTTCGCAAGCTAGCCAGGCAGCTCTGAAGGATCATTCTGTCTATTGCGCTTCCAAGGGAGCAGTAGACATGTTATCCAAGTAAGATTACTTCTTATTTAGCTATAATTTCTCTGTATAATACAAGTAAAAAGTAATTATCTTATGCGTGACGTATCGAGAAACTATACATTTTTGAAAAATATTAAAAAATTTTAATTATTTACTATGTCACACTCTATATAAATACAATCTGTTTTACCTACCTTGTTTTAACAACAACTGATAACACGATGATCCATTATGAAAATTTCACTTATGATATCTAGCATGGATTCAAGGCAATCGATATTCTTTTTCAGGACAATGGCTCTCGAACTTGGTCCACATAACATTCGAGTGAACACCATAAATCCTACTGTGATCATGACAGAAATGGGAAAGCTGGGTTGGAAGGAACCAGAGAAAGCACGTACCATGTTAAGCAAAATACCATTAGGTCGATTTGGTGGTAGGTAGCCGTTTCATTCTAAAAATCAGATTTTCATTAATTACATTTTATTAATCTGTCATTATATTTATAGAAGTATCTGAGGTGATCGATGCCATAGTATTTTTATTGAGCGACCATAGTTCAATGATCAACGGAGTTACCTTACCAGTGGATGGTGGATTTCTGGCTACGTAAATTGCAAAACGTGTTTTAATTATCCTTTATGATAAATCGACTGTAAGCCTAAATTTTAAAGACAACATTATAGTTAAAACATTCCGTATCACAAAAAACATCAAAAAAGATATGTTTTAGATAATTATGTTAAATCATAAGAAGAAAACATTTTTAAATAAAAAATATTCTTTTTTTCTAACAAATTCATATTTTAAGAATTGCTTTATGCTTCAAGGTCCATAAAAGTTTCATCGAGAAGAAACACAGAAGGGGATAAACGAAAACTGTGTGGATATTTGAAGCATGGACCGAGGATAAAATGAAAGAGAGAAAGGCGAATATAGTTACTCGTTTATCTCGTTTAATTTAAAAAACGCTTCGTTTCTTCTTTTTTTATTATTTAACTAGAATTCGGCGAGCAGACAGCAGAGGGCACCATGAAACGGTGAACACGTTCGTCGTGAAAGAAAACTGGTTATTTTCCGAAAATATTTGAAACGAGACGGGGCATCGTTCCATCGGGGTTCCCCCGCCGCTGCCATTTCCGGTCTAAAACAAACGTTTCGTTTTTCGGCTCTTCCTAATCGGTAATTATTTGAATATCCCTACAATGAACATAAAGTGGCGGAGAAAAACGCGAAATCAGACTGCCTGCACGGAAGGAGACGTTCAAAATCGATCAGGGGCGTAGCATTTGACTTCATTCACGCCTCCTTTCGCGATCAACGTTACGAGCGAAGCATTTCCGTTGAAATTAACCCTTTATGTAAGTAATTCTTAATCGTATAGAAGACAATCTTTTCGCAATCGTTCGACTAAACGATTTCGAAAATCGTTCGACCAAAATATGTCGTAAATAAAAGAGAAAAAGATAAGAAAGAAAAAGAGAGAAAAAAAGATATAACAAATAAAATGGATCGCTTAGTTTTTTACGCTTTCCTTAACAATTATATACCGTCTCTCCGTGTCATATAAAAAATCAATTACAGCCCTTCAAATGTCCTTCGTAGATATCAAAAAATACACGATTACACGTTGCAGATTAAGAATCACTAGTCTACAGTTCGACAGAGTACAAGTATTAAAAGCGACCAACACGTAGAAACGCTGTTTCCTCGATGCACCGTCGACACGCTACTCAGGAATCACCAAAGTATTCGATGGTTATTAAATAGCTGCCTATTTTGATTATTCTTGTTATTTGGAGAATCGTATGTCCTCCTCGTTGACACACCGCTCGCACGGCCGTATTCCCATCATACATAAAAGATTAACTTCAAGTCACATGCGTCCGGCTACCACAAAAAAAAAAAAAGAAGAAGAAGACGAAAAAAGGAAAAAGAAGTATGAAAACAACGGAAAAAACTCGAACATCTCACGCAACACTCGCCGCGTCGTCTCGATTCGTACACTGATAGACGAACAAGCAAACGGACAACGACGGTCATAATTTCTTTTTTTTTGTTTTTTTTTTTTTCCTTTTTTTACAATTGCACTTCAGTTTAGGAGTTAACGAACTCACATCAAGAATGTCGAGTAATGCAAGCTTAATTTTCTTAATTCCCGATCGACCCACCAGAGCGTCCGCGTCTTTCCTCCGATAGATGTCGCCACCGGTCGAACGACAAAAATGGGCGATTCTCCGACAGCAACGAGATAAAGAGAGATAACAGAAAACGAAGTTTCTTTTACCGTGATATTTAAAGGAAGAACGGAAAGTAAAGCGCTAGTGGGTCGACGTTCCAGCCGCGAGCGATAGATTAAATATTCGCAAATTTATACGTTTTTCTTTTCTTTTCTCGTCGCTCTTACACGATAATGATATATCGCGTCGATAATAATAAATCATTCTTTTCCTTCTGCATTTTCTTTCTCAAACCGCAGGTTCGATCAATACTCAAGCGCAGGCCTACTATTTTGATTCGGTTTTTCCTTTTTCTTTTTTTTTTTTTTTTCGACCTGTACGCTCTTGCCATCCTCGAAGATCACACGCACAAGACACACGACGAGAAACTAAGAAAGAAACGTGTGGCGAAAGCGTCGTGGTGTTATATTCTGTTATTTCTACAGCAAGAATTCGAATCCAAGGAGCAAACGGAGGAGGGTCCTTAGAAACGCAATCGAATGACACTTTGTCTCGTTTACGTTCGCCGTTCCGGCTAGGCATTTTCCCCCTCAAACTCCCGCCAACGGATTAAACTCGACGATTAAATCCGTGGGTAGCCTAGACGTTTAGCCGATCAGTTAGCCGCTCGTGCTTTTCATCAACCTACAAAGAAAGAAAACGTGAATGCAGGCAAAGGCCGAATCTCAAAGATGGCAAGAGTTGTTGTTGTTGTTGTTGTATGCGATGAAGAGAAACGAAAAAATTCGTACTAGAATGCAAACGAAAGCCACGAATATCATGTTTTCCTCCGCGTTTCCACTCGGCCATACGCGAATGACCTTGCACATACACGCAACGAGTCATCCGTGAAGCTGTTTCTCTCTCGATATTTCTCAACCACGCACCACTGTGATCCGTCGATCTCTTGCTCTCTTCCCTTCGCCTCTTTTCCTTTGCAGAAACGAGAACAGCGATACGCGAGTACAACGCAAAGATAAAACGGTGAAACGGAATAGAGAAGGCAAGCAAGCCTGAAGCAGCTCGACTCCCGGTTAAAAACGCTCTCTCCTTGCATGTATAGTACACAAAGGCAGTTATTATAATACTCTTTGTCGGTGTTGCTTTGTTCCTTCGGACATTTCACCTAATTGTTCCTCTCATTCTTTCTCTCGCATATCATACTCGTCTGCATGCACTGTGGGGTAGTACAGTTCGAATCGGCTCCTCGTCAACCATATTGATGAGAACTTCGTCATTCGCGAACATACACGCATACATACATACATACGTACACACATCGTTCACGCGACTTATAGTTATTTCCCCTTGGATAGATCATAGTAATTGTATATACATATACAAACCGTTCGCACAGTCGATACAATTTCGATTATTAGTGTACTTAAAATACGATTGATCGCGAATTATACCTCAATGCCGTGATCGTCGTGACGCCTCGTCGATGAAGGTCTTCGTAGACGCTTCCCTACTCGAACCAGAGGACCAGTTTACGCGTGTTCTTTATTTTCTTGCTTTTCCTTTCCTTTCTTTTCTTTTCTTTTTTCTTTCCGCGGTTCCTCTCCGTTTCAACGAGTCTCGCGTGAACCTGATAGGCTTCTTAGACTCGAGAAGACAAAAGAAGAAGAAGAAGAAGAAGACGAAGAAGGAGAAAAAGAAGAAGCACCGCTAGGCCGAGCGGAATCAAGCGCGCGCCATCTTTTCTCTTTGTCGTTTCATTTTTTTTATTCTTCCTTCTGTCCCTTAATTTTACTTGCATTCGAAGAATCGTCCATTTTGTTACTCAGCTTCCGCTTTTAATCGGACCAATTTGCGCCAACGACATCTACGTTTCCATCTCACAAGCGAGTGTTCCGGCTGGACTTTTTTGGTTCAACGAAAAATGAAAATAATAAAATCAATTCGATGCGTTTCTTTGCATTTCGTCCCCTTTTCTTCTATCTCTTGTCGTCTGGCACAAATTGTTTCATCGTGAAAAGAAAAAGAAAAAAGAAAAAAGTAATCGATATACATGCTGGCGCTCCTCTTCTCGCACTGGCATCGATCGTCTCGAGGAGAATCGTGTTGCTCTCGCGAGATCTTGGATTCTAACGTCGATGATCAAGGAGGAAACGACGAATCGTGACAAGATTAATTCCGCGCCTATCATTCAGTCGTGGGAGAAAACGCAAGGGCTTCCGCTCGCGCTGGCAGTGTTTGTTTCCTCTAAGATAAAGCTCGAAAACGATCTTCGATTCAGTGGCCAACGGCGAGAATTATCGTTTTGCAACCTAACGATCAACGAAATTATCACCGATCTCGTTCGCGATTCGAAATCTTCGCAATTCTTGATTTCACTTCGAATTTCAGGTAGTTCGATCTAACGCTAACTAGCTGAACGTAGATGAGACCGAATCAAACGAATCGCGTGTATTAATTGGAAGAAATGGAAGTGTTAATATCGAGCAACGATCACAAAGATCTAATCATCTTATAAGAAATGAACGAAATCTTAAAACAATATAGATCACCGCGCGATATTTGCTAATCGAGTCTCTAATAATATCAATATAAACGTAATTCGAATAAACCTTATTCGTAGAAATTTCAAATCTCCCGCCATAGAAAAGGACAATCGTTGATCCTCTGCGCGTGCATAGAGCGATCACTACAACAAAAAAAAAGATATAATTCTTTAATAATTCATATTTTCATGAATTACGATCTTAGAACGAACAAGAAAAAAATAACAAAAAGAAAAAACGCCAGTAGAACCTGAAACGTTTATAACATGTCTATATTCATATTCAAATCACAATTTCCCTTTCTGAAACGCACGGGACAGACTTAAAAAGGAAATAACGATACAAGGTTTAGTGTCGCTTAAAATTACGCCTGCCTTTCCCTCTCTATGCGTTCTCGATAAACGATACTCGATACAAGTCGTTGCAGTCTACGTAGAAACTTAGTCAAGGAGCGCTTAATGAACAGAAATATATTCTTACGTGGATCTTTTTCTTATTCTAATGCTTAATCGGGTCGAACGCGAGCGCAGAGGACGCGCTGAGTCGAAGGAAGCGAAAAGGAACGGAAACAAAAATGGCGGTGAGATCGCGATACGCAGAGAACCCTGTAACGGATTCGTCGTTTCCTTGTTCGATCGTCGAACATTGCTGTTTATTTTATTCCGTTCTCGTCTCGAGAAGATCGTTGCGGATTAAGTCGTCTCTTTATACAAGTCACAACATAGTAAATAGTGTGTATGTGTATGTGTGTGAGTGTACGTGTGATTAGCGATAGCAGCAGCGGTAGTAATGGTAGTAATAGTTGGTAGTAGTTTAATTAGTTAATAGTTAATTGGTAATAGTAATTATAATAGCAATAGTAGTACCCTATGAAAAAAAATACATAGAAAAACACGTGTCGGTATAATATATATTTATATATAACCTTCATTTTATATCACGTTTTTTTGTTTTTCACCTTTTTTATATGCAATGCGTCCACGATACTTTATACAAGACAAAGTCGATCAAGGGAGAAGGAGGGAGGCAACGGGAAATGACAACCGGGATGGAAGGGGTGAAGATCGTGAAAAGTGAGGTTAGGAAGGCGTGGAAGGATGAAAGGGAAACACGGGCGATATCGCGGTAGAAGCCTCGCTTCGATTTTCACTTCCGTCGACTAATCGGTTGCCTAACGAGGCGAATGCACGATTGGATCTTCGATTTGATTCAAATTTTGTAAATAATACATACTCGAATATACGCAAAATACGCGGCACATTCCACTGAAAATTATATAGAAAAATTTATACATAGAGTTTCGTATCTTCCTATACGCTAAATTAGGATACGGATTTTAATCAACGATTATCGAGACTGATAGCGCTAAACTACGATTATTTAGTTCGAGTCCCAATAATATCAAAATTTATTTTTCTCCCCGACATTTATTATTACATTTAAATCGGGGTTAATTTCCTACTGCACGATCGAATTACGTTGATACTTCGAAAATAGCGAATGTGACGGCAACACTACACGAAATATATGATTAAAATAAAAACTATATATTAAAAACGAGCATTTGAGTTAGCATTGATAATTTCGAGATTTAATTTCAAGGCACGGATAACCAATATTGAACGAAAAAATTGTAGATAAATATAACTGTAAATAGAAACTTGAAATTCTATGCTCTTAAGCAGTACGTATATATGTATACATGAATACATGTATGAACGAACAAAATTTAAATCAAATCGCAACAACCGTTATGCACACCGCCATAAATCAGTTGTTCCCGATGAGTTTCATCTGAAGCAAAAAAGATATTTCCTCCGCGAGAACAATCGGCTATTAGAGAATCTGTTTCCTCGCGTTTTTCTCGGACACTATCTCCCCTCTTACTCTAAATTGCTACAGTCGCATGTTCAACAAAATTTCGAGAATCAAGGCAATTGTTCACGCTTGAGAGAAACCCGATTTCCGGTGAATTTCTCAACGTATTACAACGTGGTTATCTTCTAATAACTCCTCTCCCCACCACATGCCCGAAACTTCCAGCCATCTCGATTTTCATTAGAAACATCTTCGAAGGACATCGCGATTATAAAGCTAAGTGCCAGAAGTTATCACGTGGCGAGAAAGATGATATACGAACCGCGTTATTTGCACGAGAATTATACTCGAATACTAACAATCGTTTCTCTCAACGGAAATCCGAGATTAATCCTCTCCCTTTTCCTCCGCCCAAGTTTCGTTAGTCGAGAGGACACGAATTTCGCATGTATACTTACACGTAAATCGAAACGCAAGCACGCACCGTCGTATGCAGACAAAGACACGCACACGAATAAGTTTGGTACCGTCCAACGTCGATCTTTTTATTTTTATCTTTCGTCATTCTATCCTTTACATCGTGCTTCGCCGTCGCGCAAATACGTTTCCCTATCTCTATCTCTTTTTATCGATCGTCACTATAGAGGGCACCAAACTCGCGGAATACGCTCACCTCTCGCTCCCGTCCGGAAAGAACATTAGTGTCGTACAAAACAGAGGACGAGAAGTGTGATGGAGAGAGGAGAGGTCCTCGCGAGAATTAAACGAAAAGCTTAATTTTTTTTAACCTCGATTACTCGCTTCTTCGAGCAACGATCGCCTCCTCCATCCGAACCAATCGATTCGCGATTCGACGATTACGCGTAAAAAATTAAATGAAATAAAATAAAAGAAAATGTCGAGGTTCGTGCACGGACACGAATTGTACAGTACGCTCGATCGATATTGGCGCGTCTTAATTGTTCCTTGATTACCCCATTAGCTGGCACAACCGATTTATTAGATTTGCCTTACAGCTACGCTTTAGTCATCCGATTTTTTTCTCTGTATTTCGGCAGACAGTCATGCTATATACAGGTTCCGTGTCCGTCAGGAGCGCTAGAGCAATGGATCTTGACTCCGAGTAGCTTTTCTAGAGTTCGGCTCAATGGAAATCGGATCGTGCGACCGGTGCGACTTGACTTTCACTTTTCTGTCAGGTTGATTCCGCGCATGCGTGGCTTTTGCCGTCCGAGAACCGTTATCCAGCCGTCGTTGCCGATTTTGTCTATGTACAAATCGTGTTTTAGTGGGATGGGGTGGGGGAAGGGGAATAATCTACACGTTTATACAGTCACGCTCGATTACCGATTTCCGTGATCCACCTTGATCAATCTCGGTTTCGAAACGATCAACGTGTACCCAGGAAACGGAAATTCGAGTTTAATTGAAAGGAATGTTAGGCAAGAAAGATAATACGATCAGCGAAAATTCTCTCGATACGACGATACTCTAACAAATGCACGTATGACTTCCAATTAGATTTTTAAACAAGCGCGAGTTAAAGATCGACGAATATGGAGAATTTCGTCAAAGTCGCAGCGAAGAAGATTACAAGGATCATCATCGAAGTCGCGTACTGTACACTCGCGAGCTATTCTAAGAATCACGGACCGCGCCTCTACGAAGCGTCCTTAATCGATACACCGCAGAACTGTGTCGTCCCTCTATTCCTAAAATCCAATAATCCTTCGTGGAAGGATACCTTCGGTACAACGAGCAGTTTCGAGTTCGTTCATAAACACTGCGCAGACATTGCGATATAAACACATATTCACGATTGTCCGAGTACAGTCTGGTTCATTGACTCATTTCGGAAACACGATCGACCCAGGCATCGACTGTTTCACTCGTTGGATGGTGCTTCGCTCTCCAGCTTTGGCAAAGCCGCGTTTCACGGACACTTGAATCTTCTTTCGGTTGGAAGTAAACACGTTCATTCTTCTCCGTTGCTTCGATCCACTGGACACCCTCGATAATGTGATAACGTCGATAATGAAGGTTCCTGCGTGACCACAGGAAACTCTTCCTCGCATAAATCGTCGATTACCGATGGACATACACACTGGATCATCAAAGTCGAGTGGATTCGCTTGCGTTCCGCGGATCGTCGAGTTTAAAATTTCTTTTAGAGAAACCATCGCGACGGATCGCTCGCAAATATCGTTTTCGAACAAACGAGAGGTAGACACCTTCGAGTGACATCTTTCGTCGATCTCCAAAAACCTCTAGCCGCCTTATCTGTGGTATCAGAGGTCGATAATCGAAGTTATCGACATTGTCCATGACGATGATGCTGTCGACGAGATCACTGAGTGAGAGAGGTCGTCAACGACGTGAACGAAGGCGAAGATGAAAATGAGGAGAAGTCTGCTATTGCCGTTGTTGATTCACTTGTGTTGAACGCTTGCCAGCCTGCCCAACAGGATGGGTGGGGCCATTGCATTGGCGCTTCCAAAATAAAAGACACACAAAACACGGACATTAGCGCGCTACCGTCCTCACACCGTTAAACACAACCGAAACTTTGCCCTCTCTTTCTCTGCCTCTACTCTCTAGTTTTCAGCCCATTCCGTCTCTTTTTCCGTTGCCCTGTCCTGATCGTTTTCTACATCATCTCGTGGAAATTTTGATTACTCGACGTGCGTCGCTTTCTATCGTTCTTGTTTCCTGTCTCGGTATCAATGTGCCTTTGTTATACATACATACACCTGCTTTGTTCAATTACCGCGTAATTGCGAAGTCATTTTTGTGTTTCTTTTTTCCCTCATTTTTGGTCTTTCTTTTTTGTATTTCGTTCGAAAAAATCATCTCTAGATTCGTTTTATCGACCGACGATATACGGGAAAGTCGCGGATCTTCTTTAACGATCGAAAAGAAAGGTCCTATTTCCAAGATGGCCGCACAGCCGTGATGACAACCAAAAAGTATAAGGCGAATCGATCGTTCGAAAAGAGACGATCGTGGGATCGAGCAACAGATCGCTGTAACGTTTCTACGTAGCAAAGAGCTTTTTTCCAAGAGAACACGTGAAGGAAACACGCAGTATATGTGTGTATGTGTGAGACGCAGCGACATGGCAGGATCAAAGGCTTGAAAGCAAGAGACTCGAGAAGCGAGGATTTCGTTTCGTCTCGTGACAGGGCTGTGAGAGGTCAGAGAGAAAGATCGCAAGGCGAACACGCTTTTTCGTACTCTTTTTTTATATATATATATATATGTATATATA